CCCCCAAACTCTTCATCTTCCCCCCCCCCCCCAAAACTTCAAGCTTCCCCCCTGTGTACTTCTCTAACTGCATGCATGTACATACATGCACATACACATGTATGTACACAACCTTCCCCCCCCCTGGTCAACTGCTCTGGGCTTCCTCCCCAAACAAAAATTTCTAGATAGAACCTTGATGATAATAGTACAATAAAGGAGATACAGTTGAATTGTATGAAGATCATTATGCTCTTTACGAGTAATGTAATATTACTTAATGTAGTATGAATTCATAATTATGTATAGATAATAAGTATAATAATAATTATGTTAGTAGGCACATGTACATTATAATGGCAATACTAATACAATAATGGCTAGATAAATGAGATGGTTGACGAATAATAAAGATCATTATGGTATGGTAGCATTCTCTCTTTATAAATAACTAGAAGAATGTAAAGCATTAAAAGGGGCGAGCCTAAGCAAGCTATAGATAATGTGCTGTATGATATTCATGTATGAGCAAGCAAAGCAATTGCACAAGTCTAAATACAGTGATATTGATGCACTTGCTTTAATGTATTATAAAATGTATTATGTCTGCTTCATCACGTCGTAGAATTGAAGAGTCACATTCAGGATATTTTCAGTATTTTTGAGTAGTTATTTAAAAATAACTAACAATAACTACTCAAACTCAATGAAAATATGGAAATATCCTGAATGTGACTCTTCAATTCTACGACGTGATGAAGCAGGGGGTATATGCACAGTAGGACACTCTCCTCTAATTATTATCTACTCTTGATACAGTGGATATTGATGCAGTATCTTGCTTTAATGTATAAATCATTATAAAATGAATTATGATTCTACATTATATAACTACATGTATGTACAAAGATCATTGTATTTTCTCTCTAACCTTTTCTTGTGTGTATGTTCTTATGTTGAAGGTCCTCCTCTTGTTTTCCTTTCCCACCACAAGGGCTGGCCACAGCGCTTCGTTTCTTAAGAACAATCAACTGATTTTCAAGCTTTGTCAATATTTCCTTTTCTTGGAAGTACCTCTCTCTCCATCTCCGATCACCTGAAAAAGGAAAAGGTCAGCCTAATCCAATTAATCCAGTCTCTTTATCGAATTACAAAACACCACTTGGTGTTTACAATTAGATATAGAGCAATTTTGTCGTCGCGGCAACGACCTGAGATCCGTCGTCATGGCAATCGTACCCCAGCGCATGCAGTCTGGTGAGTTGTTGACAAGTGTCTGATATGAGAGGAGGGAGCAGGTGGCGGTGGTTGAAATGGAGTGAAAGGGGATTGAATTACAATGCTGAATGGATAATGATAGATGATGTCATATAAGCTTATGACAACTGGGCTGAGTATTATTATCATAGCGCTAGTATTATTGTATCAGCAGTGTCTACACAGCATGAGGACATCTGCAGTTGAACACGTAATAGAAATTGGGGGCGATTCTAGACCTGTTTTTGATAAAAGCTTAATAAAGTCTTTGTCTAACAAAGTTGGAAATTTCTAAAAAATTTAATCTTGATCGGAGTCAGCTAAAACTTTCTAGACTTTCTAAAGGTTCTAAACATTTTATAAAAATGTTTATTTAAGGGCTCAGTTCCCTTCTACACTGTACTACAGTACAGGGACTTTGGCCCAATTTTTGAATAACTTAAAAATTTGTGAAAAACTAATTTTGATCAGAATGAGCACAACATGTACAATACATTACAACATCTTTATGTATCAGGAAATACAAAGAATGTTCTCCTTTTCAATTTTGGCAAAATTTGGCCCAAGACCATGTACTACAGTACAGGGACTTTGGCACAATTTTTGAGTAGCTTTTAGTCACTACACTAAACTTGATTTATTTGTCAATGGTTATGACTTTTTATAATAAATCTCTTACCTGATTTTTTAATATTTTGAATAGAAAGATTAGCATCTCGTAACTTCACTGAAAGAGACGTCTTTAAAGATGAAAGTTTTTTGCTGAGAAGAAAAAAAAAGTAAAAATTTTGTATGTTACATCAAAAATCCTCACCATTCTTCCTTTATAGCAGCTAAGTCATTCAATACTAAAAATTAAATAATAATAATAATACTAATAATAATAATAATAATAATAATAATAATAATAATAATATAATTAATAAAATTACCTTTAGTAGTATCTTCATTAATACCTCCAATACTTCCCTGTCCAGCTGTAAGGCCATCCCTACCTCCAACCGAGAGAGCAGAAGCAACATTTTCAACCAAACCTGCCTCCATATAACCTCCTCCTACCATTGACGTAGAAGAAGGAAGCCCCTGAGGTCCATCAACCACTGATAGTCCTTGGGCTGTGTCTCCATATAAGGATGTAGTAGAAGAGATAGGAGCTCCTTCTTGTCCAGCAGGCACTAATAGAGTGTCTACTAGTGAAGTAGACGTTGTATTATGTAATGGAGTAGCAGGTGCATGGAGTGTTGTGGTAGGACCTCCGTCTGTATGTAGCATACCTAATTGTTCAGGAACTGTAATGCCTGGATTATTAAGTGATGATGCATCATCATGAAGAACAGGAGATGTAAAGCCCTCTCTTTTTCTATATTGCTCCTGTTGATTAAAGTCAGGAGGATAAGCATTACCTCTTACCCCACCAGTTAAACTATTACTGATCGATGTCATCCTGTCACCAGCTTCTGGGTGAGGTTCCCCTGAAGCTGGCAAGAACCGAGAGTTCTCATTTATTACTCCCAGCTGATAGAAACCTTCCTGCTGAGCGTCTTGTATAGTATTGAATGATTGTAAACTTGGATTAGGAACTGAGTGAGTACCAATAGCGTTATCATTGAATGCAGCAAGATCCCCTTGAATAGGATACTGTACATCATTAGGAGGCACTGAAGCAGCCAATGAATTACTTTGAATATTCTGGGGTAACGATTGAAGCATTGGATTTGTCATTAGATTGTTACTTTGATAAGGATCAGAGAAGAAAGGCTGTTGAGGATTTGTGCTGAATGACTGTTGGGGGTTTTGAAACGAAGACGGTTGGGTATTCTGGATTGAAGATTGTTGGAATGAGGACTGTGGGTTTGAGAACAAAGACTGAGGGTTTGAGAATGAGGACTGTGGGTTTGGGAATGAAGACTGTGGGTTTGGGAATGAAGACTGTGGGTTTGGGAATGAAGATTGAGAAGGGTTTTGAAATGAAGGCTGCTGCGCTTGGCTCATAAACTGTGTCTGATCAATAGGCATGGGATAAATTAGGTCTGAATTATTTAGCGGCTGATTAGGAGTGAAAGGCGAGAATACTTGCTGCTGTGGAGAATACTGATGTTGAGCTTCCATTACTCCATTATTCAATCCATGCTGTACTGGAGCTTGTGGCTGAACAGCCTGTCCTTGTATAGGAGCCTGCGGATTATACTGTTGCACAGCTGGTGGAAATGAGTGTACATTATTTTGAGGCTGAGCCATTTGCTGCATATTATTAATATGAGGTTGTAAGGATGGGTCTTGGAAATTATTGACGCTAAGAGACGTATTTGCAAATTGTGGATTATAATTATTCGGTGCTTGCTGAGAAATGTTAGGAGAAGTCTGTACAAGAGGGCTAAATGGTGTGTTTGATTGCATTGGTTGGCCATTAGGTTGAAGTGGTAATGGCGACTGATGTGGTATAGTGGGGTTTAGCTGCATTGACATATTGTGTGACATAGCCTGCGGAGTTGGCTGTGAAGGAGTAGGAGGATTGAAAGAAGATGGCTGGTGCTGTTGTTGTTGGAGAAACGATGGCTGCTGCTGTTGGAAAGTAGATGATTGCTGGTGAGTAGGTGGAGGATTAAAAGATGGCTGCTGCTGCTGTTGGAAAGAAGATGGCTGCTGCTGTTGGAAAGAAGATGACTGCTGTTGAAAAGAAGATGGCTGCTGCTGGAGAGAAGATGACTGCTGCTGTTGGAAAGAAGATGACTGCTGTTGAAAAGAAGACGGCTGCTGCTGGAGAGAAGACGGCTGCTGTTGTTGTTGAAGAATTGGCTGCTGCTGCTGTTGGAAAGAAGGTGGTTGTTGTTGTTGCTGCTGGAGAGAAGATGGCTGCTGCTGTTGAAGAATTGGCTGCTGTTGTTGAAAAGGTGGTTGTTGTTGCTGTTGAAAAGAAGGTGGCTGCTGTTGCTGCTGGAGAGAAGATGGCTGCTGCTGCTGTTGAAGAATTGATGGCTTTTGCTGTTGAAAAGAAGGTGGAGAATTGAATGAAGATGGCTGCTGCTGTTGCTGCTGCTGGAGAGAAGGAGGAAAGGAAGACTGGGCATTATTATTTAGTGAAGGTTGGAGTGAATTATTATTAACTGGTTGATTATTCTGCTGTTGATTAAAAGCTGAACTGAATGAAGGAATGCTGCTTGTATGTGGTGAGGCTTGTGGAGTTTGTAAAGGTTGAGGCTTTTGTATAGCAGAAGAATTAAAAACATTATTTTGAGTTGATTGTGGATGAGATTGAGTACTTGATGTAGGTGGTGGCTGAGATTGAGATTGATTGAGTCGAGCTACAGGAGGTGTGGCTTGATTAAGTGTGGGCAGTTGCACGTTTGAAGAAGGTTGCGCTCTAGAAGGATCCGTGGGTTGATGAGGTGAACTAAGCGAGGGAGGGACAGCTGCTGGAGGAACAATTCCTGTTTGTATAGTTGCTTTACTTGTTTGTACATTCGTCTGTGTATTAATAGATGGGGCTGGTTTATTTTTAGTAGAGGATTGAACATCAGCAATGTCTGCTGAAGATTGAGGATTTACGGTTGAAGCCTTCACTTCTAGTGGTTTCTTAATATTCATACTTTGATTATTAGACGATTGGGATTTAGTAGGCTCAGAAATGGACGGTTGAATAACTAGAGGTTTCTCCTTTGAAGGCTGAGGTTTTGAAGATTGGGTGCTTGGAGTTTGATCATTCAAAGCATGTTCTAATAATGGCTGACCACTACTAACAGACTGTGACTTTGAATTATCTTTATTTCCTGTAGCTGTATGCTTTAAAGTTTTATCTCTCTGTGCCTGATCACTTGACAGTTGCACAGTAGAATCAGAAACTGCTGCTGTAGCTTTTGAATCTTTTTTTGCTAATGCTTTCTCATTCTTTTGCTTAGTTATTATAGACTGACCTCTTGTGGCTTGCTTATCATCATCATCTTTCTTTACCAAAGGAGCATGTGATAGTTGCTCTTGATCATGAGATGATGCTGGTGATTTCTTATCAGTTCCTTGAATTTTATTTTCAGATGTCATATCAGAAGAATGTCCTTCAGTTTTTTTAAGAGGAGAAGAAGAAGATGAAAGTTGCTTTTCTTTTGTCTTCTCTGATGATTTCTTATCAAGTGACACAGACTCATCTTTTGATGCTAAAGACGGTTCCTGCTTCTTTTTCACGAAGGGTATCAAACCATTTCTTGTGCTTTCCTCATTAAACTCTGCTCCATCCTCTTCATCTATTAACAGCCTATCAATGCCTTCATCTGGTATTAAGTCTATAGATATAAAAGTCAATAATTACATTACAAATATGTGACAAAGCGGTCGAGAATCTGGGGGGGGCAGGGGGACTGGAACCCCCCACTTTTGATGCAAGCCCCCCACTTTTGATGCAGGTGGCACAGCCCCCCCCCTCCACTTTTGAGCAAAGCCCCTCATACTTTTGATTGCTAAGGAGTATATTAGTATAACTGATGAATGCACTAAATTTTTTTGATCATTTTAAATATAATTGAATTAATGAATGAACATTGGTTTAAAAATGAGCCCCCCGACTTTTAGATTGATGTCTCAACCCCTGTACTTTACCTGAGCAGAGCTGTTTTATGATTGTATCAGTTAAAGTTTCATCATTAAGGTATTCCTGATCAACTATATACAGCTCAGGATGTATTGCCTGACAAGAGCATGCAATACATGTGATCAGCATGTGAAGGACACTTACCAGTGGTGGAGCATATATGTTAATGGCGAAGTCCTCCTCTTGCTTTTCATTCACCTAATAAATAAATAAATAAATAAATAATAATAATAATAATAAATAATGATGATATATTAATTGTCATTTATTAATAAATTAACTGTTAAATGGTATTAAATAAAGTCAATAAATAAATGAAATATCTTTCTTTCCCTCCTTTAATTTTAGCTCCCCCTCTTTCTCTCTCTCTTACTAATGTTAAGTATCTCCCAACTTTCCTAAGCAGTGCATATTGTTCAGGCAACAGGTGAACATTGAGCTGCTTTGAAATGTAAAAACGAAACTCAATTAAACTTGTCTTTACTGGTACCCTGGATGATAGAGAGAGAGAGAGAGAGAGAGAGAGAGAGAGAGAGAGAGAGAGAGAGAGAGAGAGAGAGAGAGAGAGAGAGAGAGAGAGAGAGAGAGAGAGAGAGAGAGAGATTGCAATAAATCGCCTTATCATCATCATTAATAATTAAAGTAATATAACAGCACAATAAAAGTGCTGCTGGACCAAGCCCACTTGATTCACAGGGAGCAATAGCAAGCATTTGCTAAATACAGATTAATAGATTAAGATTTTTTAAAAAGATCTAAATTTATTCAAAACACAATAATTACCATAAATATTGATTTAGATTTACCTCACAAAGCCAGCAGAGACTGACTGGAAGCAGGCAACACTGTAGGCGCACCTTAAATCTCTTCTCCAAGATAATGGCGGTATAATCATTATGTGAATATCAATATCCTAGGCATTGATCCATTATAATTAATCATTAATAATTAATTATCGTTATCACTCGTTGTCACGCTGGTAATATTTGGAAATGAGCAATTTGCATGTTCAGGCAGGCATTTGAAATATTTTGCATAGAGAATATTGCAATTAGGAACACTTTGCATTATAATATTAGAGAATATTAAGGCCACTGTGATCTCTATTTGTAATTATTATAACAACTTGGCTCACTTTTACTATTGAGAGGTCTTCTGTTAGTGTCTCGTGGTTAGGTGATGGAAGAGGGAGGGAAGAAGGAGCCTCTTTCTGCATTTCAAGTGATTGCTCACCTTCACGTTCATCTTCCTTTTTCTCCATTTTCGAGTCCATTTTTAGATAGATAAGATAGGTCACTCATTCGAGCTCCACCCAAAAGGCTCTTGCAAAAAAATCATGCAAACTTGCAGCTGCTCTGAGCTTTCCGTAGCAAAGCAAAGCTGAGCTGCTACGAAAGAAAAAAAAATAAAGAGAGACCTTCTAATATTTTTAAAGTTAAGAGGACTGCTGCAGCAATCCTTAGCATCCAGACTACAGCACTTTTTGCTGCAAATCGAATGCCGAGTATCCGGTCTATGGTATACTGCAAGCAAGGTATCCTGAGTTCATAGTCGGAGTTGGTATCCTGAGACTGAGCATATTCGGAGTTAGAATACTGAGTTAATATTCGGAGAAGATACCCGGAGTACCCACGTGCTCCCATACAGTAAAAAAAGTAATTGAAAAAAGACTGAAGATGCCAAAAGAGAGAAGAGAGAGATCAGGGCGGGTAGAGAGGGTTCAAAAATGCCAGCAAGGTAATCCTTAGCAATTTTTCTGTTACATGAGTGTTTAAAATTCACAGGAATCATGTTTGAAAAAGGAAAAGGACAACATATACTTAAAAACCCATTAATCATCTCATCTATCGTTGAAAAGGTACCTATAAAAATTTAACGAGGGTTTTTCTAAATTAAGGCTATTCATAAATTAATAATGTCGGTAGTTATGGGAAACCTGCTCCCAACACTTAAAAAATAATTATTTACACATTATTTTCAGTTATAATTTTCAGGCTGGCCTCAATCCATCAGATACTGTTCTAGAAGTTGGTCCTGGAACGGGAAACATGACCGTTAAGCTACTCGATGCCGCTAAGAAAGTGGGTGTGGCTTAATAATAATAATAATAATAATGAATAAATATGTATGTATATATTTAGGTTATTGCTTGTGAAGTTGATACTAGATTAGTTGCAGAGCTACAGAAAAGAGTGCAAGGAACGTATGTACATGTACATATTTATGTTATACTTCTTTCTCCCTCTCCTCTCTCTCTCCCCAGTCCTCAGGCTAGTAAACTACAGGTGTTAGTTGGTGATGTATTATCAAGAGACCTTCCATTCTTCTCAGTCTGTGTTGCGAATCTTCCTTATCAAGTAAGACTTAATAAACTCAGTTGTCAGTCCCTCTCTCTCTCTCAGATTTCTTCTCCGTTTGTTTTCAAGTTGTTACTCCATCGTCCTTTATTCAGGTAAATTGACTTCTCTTTCTTTTTATGAATATTTTTTGTTTTCGCCTCATGTAGATGCGCAGTCTTGATGTTTCAGCAGGAATTTGCTCAGCGACTAGTAGCAAAACCATCGGATAAATTATACTGTAGATTGTCGGTAAATGTTCAGCTATTGGCACGAGTGACTCATTTGATGAAGGTATACATTTTTATTACATTTTCTCATATAAATTGATGTCCTTATGCTGTGTAGAAAGTTTGAGCTGATTCTGACAAATTCCAAAGACCCTGTACTATAGTATGCCAAATTTTACCAAAATTGAAAAGTAGAGAATTCACCATTTTAATAATGTTTCCTGATACATGTACTTTGGTTGTGTAGAAAGTTTGACCTGATTTTGATCAATATTAGGTTTTTACGAATTTTTAAAGTTGCTCCAAAATCAGGCCAAAGTCCCTGTACTATAGTACACAGTTTTGGGCCAAATTTCACCAAAATTGAAAAGTAGAGAATTCACCATTTTTATAATATTTCTTGATACGTATACATGTACTTAGGCTGTGTAAAAAGTTTGAGCTGATTCCGATCAAAATTGGATTTTTTACGAATTTTTAAAGTTGCTCCAAAATCGGGCCAAAGTCCTTGTACTATAGTACATGGTCTCGGGCCAAATTTCACCGAAATTGAAAAGTATAGAATTCACCATTTTAATAATATTTCTTGATACGTATACATGTACTTAGGCTATGTAGAAAGTTTGAGCTGATTCCGGTCAAAATTAGATTTTTTACGAATTTTTAAAGTTGCTCCGAAGTCAGGCCAAAGTCCTTGTACTATAGTACATGGTCTCGGGCCAAATTTCACCGAAATTGAAAAGTAGAGAATTTACCATTTTTATAATTTTTCCTAATACATATACATGTACTTAGGTTGTGTAGAAAGTTTGAGCTGATTCCGATCAAAATTGGATTTTTTACGAATTTTTAAAGTTGCTCCAAAATCCGACAAAACTCCCAGTACAGAGTTTTTACAAAAATGACTTTAGGAAAAAAATGCTTTTTATTACATTTTCTATTACATGTACATGTACAATGTTCTATTATGCGTCGACTCTATTTGGTTTGTTCACCTTCCGTTCTTCTTTCTCCAGGTAGGGAAGAATAATTTCAAGCCTCCACCTCAAGTTGAATCTTCTGTCGTCCGCATAGAGCCTTTTAACCCGCCCCCACCAATTAATTACCAAGTAATTACTTAATTAATGAATTCTTTTTGTAAGGGAGAGAAGAGAAGCAGGGGGAATGGATTTTCTTCTCATCACTATACCATTATAATTGGATTAATTGAAATTTAAAACATGTTTTAAATTAATTGGTGCATATCGGAGATAATTTAAAACATGTTTTAAATTTCATATGTACTCTACCGGAAATTTAATAATAACAGAGAGAGAGGGAGGGAGAGAAAGAGAGAGTGAGGGAGGGAGGGAAGAAAGGGGAAAGGGAAATTTACAGTAAATTTAATAATAATTAATGACAGAGAGGGAGAGAAAGAGGGAGGAAGAGAGATGAGGAAATATTTTTGATAGATATTATATATCAACAAAATTAATATTTCCTTTCTCTCATGCATACATGTATTGGCTCATGTATATTTTTTGTTTTCTTCTTTCCTGTGTAACTTTTATTTGAATATTTAGCTTTTATTGACAATAACTTAGCACATGCATTGTTAATGTATTATAACCCCATTGCAATACATTAGTAATGCAGTAGTGTTACTATGTAGGAATAATCTCAATACAAAATGGCTGCCACAACTTTTGCAGCCTTGCTATACCAGGAAAACGAGCTCCTATGCTTACCAGACTTCTTAGAGGACCTTTTATACTAGTAAGTCATGTACTAGTATATAATGTATTATAAGAAGTCTGGTAAGCATAGGAGCTCGTTTTCCCGGTATAGCAACGCTGCAAAAGTTGTGGCAGTCATTTTGTACTGAGGTTATGCCTACATAGTAACGCTACCACATTGTACATGCAACTTTGTTGTCATGATTCATTCAATTTTTACTCGAGAGAGAGAGAGAAAGGAGCTACACAGGAAAAAATAAGTAGTTAAAACAACCCATGGGTGGTTACCTCAGTTTCACTAAACAATAGACTTCCGGAACTGAGGTAACCCTCTAAGGGTAGTTTTAAACAAAAACATGTACATGTAAATGCATGTGTACATAAACTCTTTACGAACAATAATGTTGTTTATAATGAACTGAACTGACCTCTATTCCTCAGTATGTTACATTTAGCATAAGCTACACTCTAATTCAGAGCCTGTTCTATTTTCCTTTCATCTTATACAGTTACATGTACTTCCTACCTCACTCACATGTACATTGTGTGTGCATCTACACTGTGCACTTATGGGAAATAAGTTTACATGCTTGAAATACTTATAGCATAAACTCTTCCTCTCTCTCTCTTTCTCTTGTTCTAGTATCTATTATGCTTCATTAGCTCTTCATTTCCTCCTATGTATAATTAGATGGCATATACACTTGCACTAATTAGCATGGTTTTGTTCTTTTTCCTTAACCTGACCTCATGTCGCATAATTAATGCAACTAGTTTTAGTACCCCAGTTAGAGCATATATGTGACTTTCCTTTCCTCCTATGAGCTTATCCTGCTTGTGTATATTACCCTCATTATATAATGGCAACTGTTTGAATTCATGGGTTATTCTTTATTTATTATGAGGTTTTATTACACGTTACAATGCTTGCAGCTGCCTTATAGTTTATTGTAATCCTTGTTACCATTTCCACTATGTCTTTATGATCACTCTTTTCCTTCTACCTGAGGTTTAATAGTGTTTTTATTGTTTAGTTGCTCATCCACTGAAGCAGCTGCCACTGGAACCAGCTGCCTTGACCAATTTGTCATAGTTTTTTCCGTTTGTTCGACATTTTCTTTTCCTCTTCCTCTTCCTCTTGCTGCTGAAATATCTCTCCATAAATTAATTATTTAATTCTCTTCTCACAATTGTACGCATATACATGTACATGTGTATTATCATATAAAAACACGCCATGATATTTTATTTGTGGATTTTTGTACATGTAGTCAGATTGATCATTAGTAGTTTATTGCACACAGAATAAAGAAATATGTTGATAATTATTATTTATCTGCTATGCTACTTCTTTCTTTAGATTTAAAATTTGATTATTAATATTGTAATAATGGAAGCTATACTGCATGTGCTCAAGGTGAATTTTATTGCTAAAGGTTCTGTATAAATCTACAGTAGCTTCCTTTATTAGCCTAACAAGATTGAACCCCCTCAATTTTACTGTCGTTAAGCTTCAGTTTGTTGACAGCCATTTTAAGAAATATGTAACTTTAAAACTTATACGTGACTTTCCTGACAGCTGCTATCAATCCTTAATAAAGTTACTCTCATTATCTATTATTATATTAATTATTGTTTCCCCATGGAACTATATTATCACCTTTAATCTCTTACTTTTTCCTTTTGCCAGGGGTTTAAGTGTTGATTGTTAATTAACATTGAATAATAATAGGGCCTCAGTTTTTATCATTTTAGCACATTAAAGCTTTCATTACTTACTGTAAATATCTTCTCTGTGAATGTTTATCCTCCTTCATATCACTTATTCCAGTTCTAATTTGACTGAGTTATTTACTTATTTCCACCAGGTATGTGATAGTATCTACATCTACATGTTCTTGTAATTACTGTCATGTATTTCTTAAGTTAATTTGGATAGACTTTAAGTAAATAAATGCCATAAAAGATGATATCCTTTATTACTTAATTGTACTGTCCTAGTAGCAGCTGTTTTTATATAGTATAGATTAAATTAACGCCATTTGTTGGACATACGACATACATGTACATGTGCCTGCACATGAAGATAGCTGACAATAATCATAAAAGGTATTGCATTCAGTTAATTCTATGATTAATTATTTATACATGATTTGTTCTAGATCTGGATTTATGCTTGCATGCATAATTGAGCCTAATGGTTTGTTCAGATTTCCTTTTCCCGGAAATTAAAGCTTTGGTCTATTAAATGCACTCAGCCATTAAGTCATGTACATGTACAGTAGTTGTTGAACAGGAAGTTGCGGTATGTATAGTACTGTACATGTACATGTACATATGACCCGTAGTTTCTGTGTGTGTGTGTTTGTGTGTGTACATGCTACATGTACATCCTGTGCCATTTTTTGGTTGTTCCAGTTCTAGATATTATGAATACTTATTCAATTAACACCTTCTGCTGTTGATCTGTTAAGTTACTGTCCTCTTACTACTAATGGGAGAGTACATGTATGTGTATGTGGGCTGAAGGTGTAGGAGGAGTGAGAAGGTGATTATTATTACGTAACCCTGACTACTCAAATTATATTGTTGTTATCAGCAGGTGTCTGTTTTTCCTGTCTGTTTTTCCTACCCTTTTTCTTGTGTGTTCCTTCACTCCCTTGCTTTTAAAATATGTCCCCCTGCACATATTGACATCTAATTGTTTACTGATCTTGCTTGAGATTGTGTGTGTCATATTACGCCTCTTTAAAATGCTTTACATAACTCAATTAATAGATAAGCTTATTAGTGAACGTATTTGATTATTAAAGTAAATAGTAGTGTCATATATTGAAGCCTATTTTCCCGTGTAGAAGTGTGTGCTTGGTTGATTAATGAGGTAATGAATAGTGTCTATGTCATTTGATAATAAAAGGGAGTGTACTGATAACTGGGAAAGATGATACTGATAACGAGGTGAGAAGAATGTGGCTGAAGGAGGAAACCACTGTATCTCTGTTTCTGAGGGGAAGAAGAGATATAGGGATTAGCAAGAATCTGGCACTGCTGCATTTTTGAGAATTAAGTTGTTTTGATAATTTTTACAGCTTGCAAGAAATGCTTGATGGATGCTATGCAGCCTTTAGGGAGAGATAAATCTTCAATGCTATTAAAATATTAAATGTTAAATATGCTTCCTTCTGTCTATACCTATAGCACATAGCTGCTGATAGTTACCTATCTGATGACATACACATGTATACACACACACACAGACACATCATTACCTAATGATGTACATATGGAATCATTAGTTACTATTATCATCATTACTACACTCAAACTTGACAGTCAAATGCATTTAGGTGTCTGTCCTATTCAGCCTTACTCTAGTAGAACCGTGATTTAAAATGGAGGATCTTGACATCACCTGTTAATAATTGTATACAGCTGCAGTTAGTACTTGATTGTCATGGGTCTAAATGAGAGAGTCTCATTACATCATTGTCTCTGCATGAATAGAAGGTACTAAAGTCTCATGTCCTGTTATTTCACTTTTATTTACAATGCAGCTGCTACTGTCTTTATTATTCACTGTATTTGTATCTGCTAACTTCATTCCTTGTTTTTGTTCTTCATGTATATACATTACTGTGATATAATGGCACTGTGAATACCAGTGGTACAGTCTGATCTATATCTACATGCATGATTATATGATGCTGGTCATTGTATCCCATATATTCAATACCATGATCTAATTATATCCATGCACTGTATCTCCATTCGTTGTCTACCAATTAGACCGAATTCCCACAGAATTTTAATTCATATTTGGACCAAAGACCCAGTACTACAGTGTATATAGTGTGCAGGGAATTTTGACAAATATCACAAGGAGAGAATTCTCCATTTTTATAATTTTTCCTGATATGTATACATGTTCTTATGTTGTGTATCAAGTTTGAGCTGACTTTGATAAAGTTTGGATTTTTTATGGATTTTTGAAGTTGCTCCAAAATCAGGCCAAAGTCCCTGTACTATAGTACATGGTCTCGGGCCAAATTTTACCAAAATTGAAAAGTAGAGAATTCTTCATTTTTATAATTTCTTCTGATACATATATGTGTACTTATGTTGTGTATCAAGTTTGAGCTGATTCCGATCAAGTTTGGATTTTTTATGAATTTTTAAAATTGCTCCAAATTGGGCCAAAGTCCCTGTACTTAGTACATGCATGGTCTGAGGCCAAATTTGCCAAAATTGAAAACAAGAGAATTCACTAAATTTATAATTTTTTCTTATACATGTACACAGACCCTTATGCTGTGTATCGATCAACTTTGAGCTGGTCCACATGTTTAATGAAACCATGCACAATGTTCCAGCCATTTTGGTGTGTGTGCATTCAAATGTGTAGTGAATAGAGAGAGGAAGTGCTGTCATAAGTGAGTTATGCTGTATACAAAACAGCACTCTTACAGTGTCATTCACATACATTGTACATGCACACTTTTTGTGTTTATTTATGCTCCTTCTCTCTCCATTCTGAGATCATATGAACTATCACTGTGACACTGATGGATGTAGCTGTTAATATTTAATACTTATGATTTAAAATCAGGTTTCCCCTCCCTCTTTCCCTCACTCTCTCTCTTCCTTGATTAAGGCTCTCAGTATAAATCCCTCTCCTATCTCTCTTTGTTACTCTTCCTTTCATTCTAAATCCCTTACCAAGACCTTCTCCCCCCTCCCTCCCTCCCTCTCTATCTTTCTTAAGTTTATCATTAAACTCTATGTGTTAATCATCCCATTATTACTATCAGCAGATAATATACTACACGGTCTAACCCTCTACTTCACACCTACATGTACATGTACATGTACACATGTGTATACAGACCGCAACAGCCATCGGGTTT